TTTCGACTTGTTGCTTCTTCGATTTATCGATTACCCCACTCCTGGTACCTTGTCAACGTGACTATCCCATAGATCATCAAGAGTCTCGTACAGTGGGTGCCATAACACGGTCCATCGAGAAAGCAAGGTCGAACTGCCTAACGCAGTCATCGCCAAGATAGACAATATATTCTCATAGTCAAGAGGAACACAAGATGGCGAGCTCTTTGTTCCCTCAGTATGCAATATTCGTTGTCTAGTCTCTTTGAGTTAAGTGCTTATCCTTGAAAACAAGAATTCTGTAGTATGGCGGGCTGGCACTGTGGTCTATGTGTGAATAAATGCACCTTCTCATTTTGCTCTGTTAGGAAGAACAGCGGTACGCCTTTCGTCAGGGATGTGATGAACTCAGACGATGGCGAACATTAGGGGAACAATAAATCAGGGGCAATTCGCCATCTGGAAAACATTTATCCATTAATCTTAGCTGCACTACAGTATCCCGCTTCTACTACCGATCCACTCCCGCAGAAGTCAACTCATCGCCGATGAATCCTCGTTCGACGGACATTCAGGGCTGCGATGCCTGTTTATCCACAAGAGAATTGCAATAGCAGGACTTGAATCCTAGCATTAATTCGCTTGGCACCATGGATGTGGCAAGGTTTGCTTGAAACGAGGATTTTCTCGATAATTGAAGGCTCTGTTGGGAAAGTATAGCCCGAGGATGACTTGAGTCAACCGTGCTTACAATTTGTTATTACCGAGCCACGACTCGTTGAGTTGTCAGCACTGGCCAGTTCCTTTTGTTCTGCAGTTCTGCAGTGCTTCTCCTTAGACTTGGAAAGTTGCCTCTCTCTTCCATTCCACTTCGTTGGCCGTGTACTCCGTATTATTCTGCTGTTGTACCTCTCTTATACTGCGCTTGTCTTTGACCGTTCTCTCTCAAACTCCAGACACTCGCTGTTCTATGATGGATGGGCCTCGATTTATCTTGGTGCGAGACCTATACGGGGTCGTATCTAAGTGCCTTACAAGACTGGCAGCCGTCTCGTGGATAGCGGTATTATAATGGGTAGCGCCACACGTGGCAGTGACAGATTTTCGACTACAATAAAGGGCCAGCAATCTTGAACCGGGTGTCGACTGTATATAAAAGTAGTGGCTTGTAAGACAAGCCTAGAGTTCAAAAACAGACACAATCCATCAACAGAGGCTAGCCGACAATCTGAGCCACTATAATATCAAGTACTCGACCTCGTCATGTATGTTTCCGCCATTCGTCTGGCACATAAATTGAGTACTTATTGTCTCGAGACTTGAAAAGGATTTCACGACTGTGCTTCTTGGCCGGTGAAATAAGTTTTGCGGAGACAGAATACTTTCTCAGACTGAGTGAGAGCGGCCGATCATACCTTATGAGTGAGTTTTGCATTGCACTAGCAAACGAGCAAATGAGCAAACGGAGCGGCAACTTGAGAGTACAGGTGATATGTGTATGGCCGGCTTCTAACATATAAGCTCTAGAATAGAATTTGGCGATATTTCACGATGAAATTGCTTACAGTCACAATTTTCATGACTTCGAATATGGGTCTCTTGTAGAGGCTTCGGCTCGGCTCAAGCGGTTGGGGTCAAGCAGTTCGGTTCGGGTCAAACGGATCACTATGGATGAAGCCAAGCGTACGAGCAAAGAACCTACCATAGGAAATCCGACGATATGTACGGAGTATTACTCGATCAGTTTACTGGCTCGTGGCTCCGAAATCTTCCTTCTCAAATCAGAGGGTAGCCTGTGGAGTTTTGCCCCTTGACGTATGATCGCGGAATTTCGTTGAAATTGGAGAAGCCGATCGCAGGGTGGATGTCGCCACGATAATCGTCAATACCGAGAGACCTACCGAGCCGGCTTCTTCTCAAGGTAACATTTAATTCTTCCGCCAACTAGCTAACAACCCTCGACTCCACATTCGGCATTCGGTGGGCTTCCCCGCCTTCTCAGAATACGCGGAGAAGTGGGTGAAGCCTCGCATACATGTTCGCTGTAGCTTCGGACTTACGAGTTGATACCTACATAAAAGTATGAGATCCAGATCCTCTACATCAAAGGGGAAGGTGGTGCATTTTTTCCATCCTTCAACATGATCTGAAGTTCCACCCTCCTTCCAAATTTTAAGATGCAGATCTGGACGCCATTCACTCTGGTCGCTTCTTTGGCGCTAGGCAGCATCTTTATGCCCAGTATTCACGCATTACCCGGCCCGAGCGTAGAAACGAAACAGGGCATCGTCGCCGGCTTTCAAGATGCAGCAGCACCAGGAGTCGCGCAGTTTTATGGCATTCCCTACGCTGAAGCGCCCATCGGAGAGCGAAGATGGCTTCCTGCCTCGCCCAAAGAGTCTTTCGGAACCTTGGATGCGTCAGTGAGACGTCCGTCTTGTCCACAGACGGATCCGCCTGGCACCGGAGGCGCGTGGGCTGCTGAGTTCTTGATTCGGCCGAATAGCACCAGCGAGGATTGCTTGACACTTAATACATGGACTCCGGTCAATTCATCCAAGGCTCTCCCGGTTGTTGTATGGATTCACGGCGGTGGATTTGGTGCGGTATCGTACCTTCCTTTCATATTTCCCTCATGCGCTGTTTGTGAGTGCGTACTCAGGTTCTAATAAAGGCATAACAGGGAAGTAATGATATTGCCTATCAAACTCCCACCCGATGGGTTCAGAGAAGCCAGAAGCATATTGTCGTTGCGATAAAGTAAGAGATATGATTGTTGCCGCTGAAACGTCTTACTAACATGATCATCCAGCTATCGCGTCGGGCTTTGGGGTTTCCCGAACGCCGCAGGCCTTGAACAAACGCAACAGAATCTAGGGCTTCTGGATCAGCGGTTGGCCACGGAGTGGGTGCGAGACAACATTGCACAGTTTGGAGGTGATCCTGAGCACATTATTCTCTGGGGCCAGAGTGCTGGAGCCGGATCAGTCTCGTACTATCAATACGCCTACCCCGACGATCCCATTGCCATTGGCTTTATCAAGAACTCGGGATCACCCTTCATCCCAATCGGAAGTGACGATGCAGTACATGGCAACTTCTCTTCCCTTGCAGCCGCATTCGGATGTCAAGAAGACGAGCTTGGCTGCTTGAGGGAGATTCCCTTCCGGAAGATACAAGAGTACCTCGATCAAGCTGGCAATTTGACATTCAACGTTATTGTGGACGAGAAGACCAAGTTCTCTGACTACGAGAACCGAACTTTGGACCGGAGAGTTGCTAAAGGTGTAAGTGTCAACCCCGTCTAGGCACACAATAGCCATGCTGACTTTGTCATCGGGAAGCCCTCAATCGTTGGTTCGACTAGGGATGAATGGAACTTCGCCGGCAGCACTACCATCCCTCCAACCAATGGATCCGACGTGGTTCCAGACAATCTGTTCGGCTGCCCGGCGCAATACGAGACCAGTCTGCGAAATGTGGCTGGTCTCAAGACCTACCGCTACATGTATTCCTCCAACTTCACCAATATCATGCCCGGAGGCCAGGGCGCATTTCATTCTGCAGAACTCCCGCTTATCTTTGGAACACATGATATTGCTCGTCAGAGTTCTACAGCGTTTGAGTATGAAGTCAGCGAGGAGATGCAGGACTTGTGGTTGTCATTTGTACTCGATCCTGAAGATGGACCGGTTACTGAAGGTTGGGAAGCGACGCCGCTCGGAGGCCTTGAGACACTGCAAACAGGTATTGACCTTGGGTACAATGGCTCTGTTGTACAGCCGTTCTCTTGGAGTTCCTGGCAGACCGCATGCGTCCACGGTGTTGTTGCCTGAGATGATCAGGTGAAGGCTGGATCGGTTGAGACTTTGGTAAGATGGCTATTTTCATAGTAATTAGCGACCAAAGACCTTTCATCCAGCTCTCTGGCCGTCTGACACGAGATGTAGAAGTGTCGTTTGGCCATCGTTCCGATGCGATGGCACTGACTATGACTGAAGTTGACAAGTAACTCCCTTGCGAGTCCGCGAGTGCTGGAGATAGGAGCCCGACGAAGTATTGCCTTTACTTATCAACTAGAAGGATCTGCAAGTCGTTCGGACTTCCGTTCGATTGATGGCTAGCATGAACCTGACAGGTGCCACATCTGTGACCGTGCGCCTCGAACGGCTTTGATAGACAGGGAATATGAGACATGCCAACAAGGCCCAGACAAAGCTCAATCTTCACTGGCCATTCAAGCAAGCCAAGTGCGTCTTCCTCAAACCCCAAAAGAGTGGTTACACCGAAAGCTACATACCTCATCAAGGCCAATAGGGCCGCTAAGTCCGGAGTGTGACTACATCTAGACTTCCCCGAGCGAGCCTGCCTGCAGACGGGGACGGATCCCGATTGATAGCAGGCGGGGAGAATGTCCGACCTAGTCGGTCAACTCAAAACATTGGGTGCTGACAGACTATCGGCTTTCCGCCCCGAAAGAACTGTCCCAACATTAAGCAAACCTTGCTGCGACATACAAGCCTGACATCTCTCGGTATCAGGTGCCGCGACAAGCGTGCGTTCCCGGTACACTAGGATAGACTCAGCCTAACGCATACTCGCCCTTTCGCTCCTGCTGTCAAGGTTTGACTAAAACACAGTTAACGGTGTCTGATGTTCGGATTACTGCGAAGCGCCCAATGAAATCGCCTACGCGCCGGGCGCCACCCGAGTCTCGCGCACCGCTCGGCTAATTGAACGCCAAGTGAAGAGCTTAACCTCTTTCCTCGATTGAAATCATAACATAAAATTGACTTTACATACAGAAGAAGTACATTATTGTACAAAGGTTCGAATATTGGCCTTGACAGTTCCCGTAGCGGCTACTTTGACACGATGCCACCGGTGAAGGCCCGAGAGCCTTGCCACCCCGCTTAAGCGCTCAAGAAACGCGTGAAATGATTATGTCCATCCAAGGCTGAACACATCTGATGCCTTTTCCCTTCACAATGTGACTATGTACCTCGAGAGTAAGCATGAGTTCAGACCGTAAACTTTGCAAGCGCCCAGTCTAACACTCTAGCGCAGTCGCTTATGCCTCCTTCCTCGAACTCCCAACAATTAGACAGAATTTCCTTTTGAGCAAAGATCGTCCGCTTCCAATTTTGAGGGTACGTGACCTTTGTTGGCATATTCAACGACGGGATACTCTGTGCCCGCTCTGCGGCCGTCAGAATTAGAGAACAGGTCACGAACCCCCTCAGTTGTAACCAGAGGCCGTGATGAGGTGTAGACGAAGTAGCCTGGATCCTGAACAAACAGTACTGTAGACCTCGCGAAGCAAGCTCCGCTACCCTTGCGACCATGTGTTCTGATACCGTTAAAGCGATGGAGATGGTTGAAGCCAACCGGACGAAAGGTCTGCACAGAAGCTCCTTCATCGCCAAGTACCGTCCACGAAGCATTTGACAAAGGTCATCACCCAGAGGAGCGATGTCTCCGGTGGGTATTTGGAATGATATTGGCGGCGGCAACGACTCGTACCAATCTGATAGTTGAGCATCAAAGACCTCAAATACTTCAAGCATGCGGTCAATGCCGTGCTCAGTCGGGTGGGGAGGGCACCTCTTTTGGGCCTGAGTGAAACGATCGATCAGGTGCCTTGCTGAGATCTCTGCTAAGTAGTAGTACCAGGATCTTTGCTCCATCATCAGGGCCTTGTTATCTAGGTTCATGACCCCGAGTGTTGGTGGAGTGGGCAGACTGTATGGGTAGTCTACACCGGCGAGAATAGAACCGGGGAGAGACAGCTCAAACGCCAGCTCACTGCAACTGAGTCTTAGCCAACGATCGAGTACACTACGGGAACATATTCCGGACAGGACGTACCATTCAGATTTGAAGCAAGTGAAGTACAATATTTGCTCCATTGAGAGTGACTGGGTGAATTCAGGCGTCTCGGCTTTAGCCGGCATGGTGAGTCTGAGACGGATGTCAGCCAAGGGAAATCCAAGCAATGCCAAGGAGAGACAAACTTGTTTGTGAGCGAAGTAGTATACCAGGTGTTACTCGCCATACTGAAACATTTCCATGCTTGTAAGGGATCCATGTTGTACATGTGCCAGATTCTGCCATACTAGTCAGCCTTACATGTACGACTGACCAAGAGCCATGACAAGTCAGATACGCGGGAGGAGCCGTCTTACCCTGCAAGGCACAAGCATTGTACAGACTCCCATCCAGGTGAACCCATGGAGAAGCCCAGTCGTTTCTCGGCGACTGACCAATACCTTGACGCCAGATGACGGTTGGGCTCCACGGAGTATCCACGAGGGGTTCCGCTTGGCGTCCTCTGCCCAGGTCTCTGGGATATGGCGCCGAGGGCACAAGACAATGCAACGATACAGGTAGACGCCGACCAGTCAGGGCCGTTTTCCGCGACCTGCTTTAACATCTGTCGCAGCATTTGAGCATCGACGATGGGATTCATGGGATGAACATTGGTCAAGTACAAGTCTACCAGCCGGGATAGCTCGTAGAACTCCATGGCGGGGGGCGATCTGGGGGAAAAGGCTTCCCCACGTGGGGAAGCATGGCTGAAGGGGTCTATCGCGAAGGGCACCGGTTTAGGAAAGATTGGCCACTCCAGCACGGAGTCCAGTCCGGCGGTATCCGATAACGAGGGGTGAATGGACTTCTTGGCCTCATCCGCGGCACCTCCATCTTGCCCAGACAGGAGACCATCTTGACGTCCACTTTGGAAGGTTGGACTGTCCGGATAGTCGCTTGAGTTACCGGACAGGTCGCGGCTAAGTTGTGGTATAGCGCGAAAGTTCTCCTCGTTGCGTTGAATTAGGTTGGCCAAGTTCTCTATTGCTCCCAGCAAACGTGGTCCAACACCTTGACATCTAACGGGAACAATCCACACTTCATTAGTATCAGTCCGATATGACGTGTCCATCCGGTTGAACCGGCGGCCATCCCCCGCAAAGTGTATGTGACCCGAACCCGTCGATCAGACGTGGGCCTTAAGACTTCAAGTCCGTATGAAGTAAAGTAAACTTACAGTGACGTTGCCGGAGCCGAGTCCTCGATATATGTGCAAGTTGCCCCGACCCTCTGACAATAGCCGCATATCGGCCTCTCGTTATCGCATTTCGTCTTGCGGCCACGGCACGTCTGACAGGCAGATGAGGCGCGCGACCAAGTTCTCTGCTTCGGCATCCTAGGATCAGCTTGCTCGACATGTGCGTGATCGACGCCGGAGACGGAGCGGCCAGGAGGCGATCCGCCAGTAACGGCCGCCATGCCCATGTCGGGGAAGCCCCGGCCGATGTCCATCCTCATCCTCTTCAGCGGTGGGTCCATTGCGACGATAGATGACTCCTGTAAACCTCGTCGTTCGGGATCATTTCTCGTGTCGGGGAGACGAGCGACGCGAGATGTGAGGGGGAAGGCAGGATGGTCGGCCCTGTCTGGGGATCGCGAGTTTAATTATCGTGCAGCATTGATCGCCGGCCCCCGCAGAACCGTTTCAGAACGCGACGCCATGGCCTCGGGAAGCGTGGAAGCTCACTTATGACTCGCCTTATCTGCATGTCATAGAGTCTGCTTAGTCTTGAGACTTTTGCGCTCGGGGACTCTTCCCGGTGAGTCTGCTCGGTGAGCACCAAGGTGAGCCATTCTACCGACTAGGGCAGCTCGCTTCGGGGGGCTTGCCGTCGGTGTAGGAAGTAGGCCAGGTGAAGTCTTTGTCAGCTTGACAGTTCTCCAGCGCTCCGACGCTTCTACTACTAGCGGCGTTAGTCCATCTTCACTCTAAGCCAGGTCTATCCATAGTCACCTAGCGTTCGTTTAGTCTAGTCAGCGTGACCTGCCATCCGACTCCCGAGTTCCGTGATGGAATCTCTCACCCGACACGACGGGTCAACCATCCAAGCTAACGATGAACTTGGGGAAGAATCCACCGCCCGTGGGGAAACCGCAGACATTTTACGGGGTCGACTGGGGTACACAGGGGGGCTGGCCGCGTGGGAAGTTGGGAACTCCTCCATTCCGGCTCTTGACAGTGTCTCTTTTGACTTTTGCATATATCTCCAAGGTGTCCTTCGACTCAACTCTAATGGCATCGAGTTGATCCCGGCTCGGCGACTTCACTGCTTTCAAAGTCGATTGCAACTGTGGTCATTGAAGAAACCAACAGCCTTCCAGTACAATCTCAGTGCAGCCCGACCACAACAAAATCAAGATGGGCTTCCTCAAGTCAAAGCCAGCCAAGAAGACGGCTGCACAGGCCGTCGGGTCTGACTTGCTCGCAGTGAGTCTCCCCTTCAATTTGCCGGCATCAACAACAGACGACGCAAGTCAGAAGCTATGTGAACATGAACTCTAACATCAGCTCAAGGTCCTGCCCGAAAACCCTGCACCATGGTATCGTACCAAGCACTTGCTTCTGCTGAACCTAACTCTATTGGTTCCCATGCTGTCGTCGGCTTCGGTCGGCTTCGATGGTATGTCACTGCTTCGTGTGAGACTTGTGAAGTGCCATCCTAACATTTGGAACCAGGTGCCATGATGAACGGTTTGCAGACCATCAAGCAATGGCGCGGTTACTTTGGTAGCCCTAGCCCATCCGTGCTCGGAACGATGAACGCTGTGTATCCCATCGGCAAGATCATGGGCCTTATTCCGACTACATACCTGGCGGATAAGTACGGCAGAAAAGTGCCCATGTGGATTGGGTTCTTCCTTCTCCTCGTCGGAGCTGCCCTCCAGGGCGCAAGTACTAGTCTGCCCATGTTCATCGTTTCACGATGGCTTCTTGGTGCTGCTACTGCCTTCATTGCGCAGCCGGCACCTATTCTCGTGACCGAGCTTGCCTACCCGACCCAGCGAGGCAAGATCTCGAGTCTCTATAATACCTTCTTTGTAAGTCTCCCTAGCTACCTAGGTCTATGTCAAACCTCTTGTAAGAGACTTTAGCTGACACCTGCCATAGTTCTTCGGAGCAATCTTAGCGGCTTGGTCAACCTATGGCACATTCCGACTGACCTCAACTTGGAGTTGGAGGATTCCGTCTATCTTGCAGGGAGCTCTTCCTGCGATCCAGTTCGCTTTCTTCTACTTCGTGCCTGAGTCTCCCAGATGGCTCATTGCCCATGGTAAAACCGAACAAGCCCGAGAGATTCTCACCCGCTACCACGCAGGCGGCGATGCGTCTTCGCCTCTCGTTGACTACGAGGTCAAGGAGATCGAGGAAAACGTCCGTCTCGAGACCGAGGCGTTGCGCGAGTCTTCGTACCTCGATCTCGTCAAGACGGCACCCAACCGTCGCCGTACGCTCATTGCTGTCATCACCGGTCTCGGAGCCCAGTGGTCTGGTTCTGGAGTTATCTCTTACTACCTCACGCTGGTTCTCAACACCGTCGGAATCACCGAGACCAAGGATCAGGCCCTCATCAACGGCCTGCTTCAGGTTTTCAACTGGTTCGCGGCCGTGTTTGCTGGCGCCATGATGGTTGACCGGATTGGTCGCCGCAAGCTCTTCCTCATTTCGACTGCTGGTATGCTCGGATGCTACATCATCTGGACCATCCTCACCAGCGTCTTCACCAACACCAAGGACGAGCGAGCTGGCTACGCCGTGGTGGCTTTTATTTTCATCTACTACTTCTTCTACGATATCGCCTGGTCGCCCCTCCTGCTCTCATACCCGGTCGAGATCTTCCAGTACACTCTGCGTGGAAGGGGGTTGACAATGTCCCTGGGATCGACTTTCGTAGGTCTCATTATCGGACAGTTCTGTAACCCCATTGGAATGGCCAACTTGGGCTGGAAGTACTACATCGTCTTTTGCGTCATTTTGGCTCTTCTGTTGCTCTTGATCTGGCTTCTCTTCCCTGAGACCAAGGGCCGTTCGCTTGAGCAGATTGCCGAGGTGTTTGACGGCAAGAACCATGCCTTTGGCAGCAGTGGCGTTAGGAGCGACAAGGTTGATGACGAGTTTGTTGAAGTTGAGAATGTTGCGGATAGGAAGGCCTAAGATAATAGGCCAAGCCATGGTCGATGAAAGCCTACGTAGTTGCGAGCTTACTAGAACTGCAATCGATTGTCAAATTTCTTGTCTACATCTCAAGTTCTTTCATGACCCCAGCTGACAAGTCTACATTTGTCTCAGTGAGGACCAGTAGTATGATGCGATCGACGAGGCAAGTTACCCCCTAAGCCAAGACATCTGATGGGAGTTGAGCGATACACTTGCAGAGTGGTAGACTTCGACGTCAGTCGCGCAATGCCACGTTCACCTACCGGCGCTTCTGCTTAGCGTCCCATTGTCTCGGGATGTATCCCAGCTGGCCGGAAAGCCAATCGCGCGTTCCGGCCGGGTTTCCATTGCACATAGAAGAGTGACTGAAGTCTTGTCAGGCCCCGACTGCCCAAGTAAGTGGCTACCGGAGGCAACGCGCAGTCAACCTACTTAACTTAGCAGACTACTAAGCCTTCGTGATCCTTGACAGTATTCCTTCTCAGCGCCGCCAGAAGTATGTCGTCCTCTTTTCGGGGTTCTTGCCTATGCGGCGGGATTGAGATCCAGACTTCGTCGACACCACTCGCTGTCCTCTCCTGTTTTTGCATTCATTGTAGCAAGAGTGCCGGTGGGTCGCACCAAATAGTAAGACTCCCAATTGTTGAAAACACCAGAGTGATTGCTAATTCGGTTTTTGCGGCAGATTGCAAAGTTTGAGACTCAATTCGTCCGAGTCCTCTCAGGGAGCGATCTCATCTCCAACTTCACGTTGGCCGACACATCCAGTGGTTCTCCAAAAGAAAAGTCGTTCTGTCGCACTTGTGGAACCCCGCTGTGGACGACCCCCTCATCCGCAAAGGGGCGATACATACTCATCCGGACGAGTCTGTTGGAGGGCGGGTAGGTGATGTCTCTCCCCTGCGTACCCGGTTGGGGCTCACAACTGACGGATGTCGGATGCAGCACCGAACTGCGACCTGATTCGGAGATTTTTGTCAAGTTTCGGCCGCCTTGGCAGCAAGTGGTCGACGGAGCTGTGCAATGGGAGCAGATGAGAAAATAAGCAGAAACGGAGAGTTCCTGAGTTGCTGGACAAAGAAGCTGGGGTAAGATGGGGGGCTCATGACTCGGAACTTGTCCGTTTGAACAAATCATAACTCGATCCGCTTTCCGCTTCTCGCTGGTGCCACCATTCGATCCATGCTTTGCTTCTTTCTGTTGTGGTCTCAGGTATGGAGGAGTTCTTCAGGTGGCCTCGGAACTCGGTGTGATCCCCAGACTTTCAACCTTTCTCCATCCAAACATTTCATCCCGAACTCTGCACATTCTCCGCAATCTTTGTCTATCTTACTCGACCGAAGTCAATCCGAGATCCATGATCTGAATCTAGATTTCCCAGGCCATTGCGGCTTCCGAGATAAGTCGCCCGTCATTCCGAGCTTTGTCTCGTCTGGGAAGAGACTCCAGTCTCCGGCGGAAGAGCCCATCTACCCCCACGCTTTGCGCCCGGTGGGAGGAAAGGGAGAAAACAATGGAGCCGAAGCCAAAGCGGATCAAGATTGATGTGGCATGTGAAGCATGTCGGAGGAGGAAAGTCAAGTGTGATGGAGCACGCCCAGGTGAGTGATCGGTGAAGACTCCAGCGTGAAGGAAACGCGGCTTGGAGAGTCTTGGCCCGCGAGGTCAGACTGAAGTCGATTGGAATCTTGCTAGGAAATTTGTAGAACATCTGCTTTGCCTTGATTCATGAGCTGCCCGCGCAACGCGTGCGTTTCTGCCCGTGCTACGGCTGACAGCAACTCATAGCGTGCGGCAACTGCTGGAAGAGGACCGATTTGAGAAACGGCTGCACCTATACCTCCGAGACCGAGAAGTCGTTCTCAGGTAGTAGTAAACTTGCAGATGCAAGTCCAGGCAATCCCGAAAGGGCAATGCCCAAGATCGTCCACACGCCCGAGGCCAACTTTGCGCAACCCCTGATGCCTCCCATCTCTCGCCCGGCTCCGAGTGCGACGCCCAAGTCGACCACCTCCTCGGGTCCAGACCTCACAAGGCGAGGTCGAGTTGAACGGCACCCCATCACTCCTTCCGATGCTAGCCCTTCAGTTGTTGATTCCATGACCACGGTCCGCGAGGATGGCATGGTGACTGGCGAGTACTTTGGCAGTAGTAGTGCTGGGTCTTTCACGAACCAGATCAAAGCTGCCATTGATGCGAGGCTGGGCTCCTCGACAGAGAATAGGAGTGTGAGAAGCTCTCTTTTCCGTTCGACACTTCCTCTTAATGGCTCTGGTGCGGGAGGACAAGCCGATTATGTCCTGCCAGCCCGTAAGCAAGCTGATCACTTGACCGATCTCTACTGGTACTACGTTGATCCGTTGTATCCCTTCCTGGACCGACAGAGATTCGAGCATTCTTATCGAGCGCTGTTTGCTGGTACCTCCCTCGATGCCGATGAACGAATCTTTGTGAGCATCCTCAACATCATATTCGCACTTTCCACGCAGTTGATCGAGTCACTGCCTCCGGATCAGAGGGATTCCTCCAGCCAGGAATACTTCACTCGCGCACAGAACTTACTACAGCTGAGCCTTTGGGACACTGGCTCCATCGAGCTGATTCAGTGTCTGTTGATTATGAGCCAGTATCTCCAAAGTACAAATAATCCTCACCAGACGTGGATGATTGTCGGGTCTGCCGTGAGAATCGCTCAGGGCCTTGGCCTACATTTGCCAGAGACGGCATCAGAGCTCTCGAATGAGCCCGAAAGAGATCTCGTGAAGAGAATTTGGCATGGATGTATCCTGATGGATCGGTGAGTTTCTTTCTGACACCACACTTTATGCGCATGGCACCTCTGACTTGTTGACTAGAATGATTGCCATCACACATGGACGCCCGGCGATGATCTCGGATCAATTAGCGTCAAGTGTGGTACTACCTTCGATCCCGGATACCAACGTCACCAGCGTCGACGAAGTACAGCTAGGTGCCGTTCAGCTTCACAAGCTTCGGTATCAGGCCTTTTTCCATAAGTCGCTCGAGCTCTACGAGGTTATCAATCACGCAGTCCTCGCGTTTTACTCGTCAACATCGCCGCTTAAGTCGCCTACCTACCCCAACGGCACTGGAAGCAAGACCCAGCGCTCCTTGGATAGGACAGAGCTAGATCTTGGGAAAGCTCTACAGCTTGATCAGCGCTTGACGAAATGGGAGAAGAACTTGCCCAGCTTCTTGACTATGGCCGAGCCTGAGACTACTCTGGATGAGGTCTTCCGCAGGCAGGCGGTAATCCTGCGTATCAGGTAAGTACTTGCGACTCGAGTTGGCTCATGGTCAACCTGACCATCCCTTGAGCCACGACTGACAGCTTATAGGCTCCTTCATGCACGCATGCTGCTCCTCAGGCCTATGCTCACTCGATTCTGCCTTTCTCAGTGCCCGGAAACCTCCCAGGTCCATGATGACCTCTCATCTCGCGTCGTTCAGCAGTGCGCCATGGTCTGCGTAGAAGCCGCGCAAAGTCTCATCTCCTTCATCGTGCAATTCCAACAACACGATGGCACTCTCGGCCTACTCCCAGCCTGGTGGTACCGTGTCTTCTATATCTATACAGCCGCAACTGTGCTCATAGCAGCAAGACTACGACCCGCGGTCTTTTCTTCTCTCGACATCTCTCGCTCGTGGAATCAAGCGATGGCTCTGCTCCATGACCACGAGAACCTAGGGCCTTCTCCGCGGAGATGTGCCGCGGCGCTTCAGATCCTCTCAACCAAGATGTTCCAGGATCAGCAACCTCAATCAGCTGCTCTCCCAAGCTCGGATGCCAGTGCAGCGGTGCCCAACATCACCAATGAGCAACAGGAGACCTTTGATATGCCTTTCCCTTACTTGGCGCAGGATGCAGCATTCGACATGGACGCAATCACGTTCGACATCAATGACTTCTCTTGGCTTAATAGTATGCCTGGAAGTTTATAACCGGTAGTTGTCAGCCCCCATCATGTACATTCATCTGCAAAATACCCGGCCTCCGCGCCTTTCATGCTTATTCTCGAACCCCCGATATTTAAGAATTCATTCGTGACTTGTTTCTACTCAAACACCATCTTGTTCTTTACACTGCCAAGCTTACTTATCCTTACCTCCACCACATCCCCATCATTCAAGTACTTCGGGGGCTTCATACCCATAGCAACACCCGACGGCGTCCCAGTCAACAACACAGTGCCGGCTTCCAACGTCGTTCCTTGGCTGAGGAAGCTGACAATCTCCTCCACGCCGAAGAGCAAGTCGCCCGTGCTCTCGTGCTGTCGCTCCTCGCCGTTGACAAAGGTCTGCAGCAACAGGTCGCTGGCGTTGCCAACCACTGCCGGAGAGACCAGAACAGGGCTGAAGGGGGCGAACTTATCGAAACCCTTGCTGAAGCACCACTGGGGCACGCCGCCAGCCTTTGCAGGGTCTCTTTGCCAGGCTCTTGCTGATACGTCGTTTGCGGTGAGGTAGCCAGCGACATATTCCAACGCGTTTTCCTTGGGGATGTTCTTGCCCGACTTTCCAATCACGAAGGCCTACCCTTGTAAGCGGCTTCTATCGAAAGTTTATTCCAGAGAATCGATACTCACAAGTTCACCCTCGTAATCAACGGTTCCGTCCTGTGCAACCTTGGGGATCGGCACGTCCTCATTCCATGCAGCGACTGATGTTGCGGGCTTAATGAAGAGTGAGGGGAACGGAGGTGGGGTCCGGCCACCCTCCTTGACTGTGCTTTAAGTCAGATGTCTGTAGTAGCTTCATTCCGGGGAAGGTTGTAGTACTGTGCTTAACATAATTGAGGCCAATGCATCGAATGATCGGAACGTCCTTTGGTGTAAGGAGCGGTCTCAGGGCTTTGACATGCACCCGCTCGCCCTTGGCCAGGGATGAGACAGGACTGGCACCATCGTAGATAGTAGCCCATAAGTCACTCTTGTCAAGAAGTGAGGTAATCTCTGGTTCGTCTTGCACCTCAGGCTCGCCAAAGTGCTCGACGTCGTTGTCGTCAACGAAGCGAATGAGACGATTCCAAGACATTTTGTTTGGTAGTGTGTCTGAGAATATAAATCTGCTCAAAATAGTGAGTTCTTTTCTTGGTCACAACAAGCCGCATGAAGCTGTTCCCAGATTATCTCAGCTCCTTAAGTGTGCCTCCGAGAGGTGCACAATCGAGCCCCTCAATTGGAGCAGCCCCCAATTGGCCAATCAGAGTGGGTTCCGAGGTTAGAGCGCGGGGAGCTGGGTAATACATCGGAACTCGGGATTGCCTCAACTGCCAGATCGAGTCCCGTCCCGCGTGGCGCTTCCGCTACATGGCCACGGGCAAGGGGGGTCAACAGTCCGGGGATAATGGGGAAACGGGCGTTGATAACCTCCTTCGCATGTCCCTCCAACATCCAACTTCATCTTCGGAATCACGGCTTTCGCCATAGGATACACGAACCGATCCAGGCCACTATTCACACACGGTTATCAATACTCAGGCACAGCCACAAGGCACTCAGACTATCATACGCCAAGCACATCGAAGGGATCATTCACAATGGACTCCCCTCACGAGGACGACAACAGGGCCAAGGCCATGAACGACTATTTGGAAGAGTTGCCATCACAACACATGGAGCCTTTGTGGTCCAAGATGAACGTGATGGTCCCACCTACACCAGCACCCGTCGCCAAACCTCACATGTGGAAGTACGCCGACAGTCTCCCTCTTCTTCACAAGGCCGCAGAGATGGTTGGCGAACAGCAAGCGGAGAGGAGAGTGCTGATGCTGGTCAACCCCAATATGGGTAAGTGTCATTGTTTTACTCGTGACAACCTAAATCGTATTTGTACTCACATGGTCTTGCAGAATCCCCTTACACAACAGACACCATCTATGGTGGACTTCAGATCGTCAACCCTGGCGAGACTGCTCCTGCGCACAGGCACATCGCGTTCGCACTCAGATTCATCATCGACGGTGAGGGCTTCACGGCTGTTGAGGGGAAGAAGATGCCCTTGAGACGTGGCGATGTTGTCGTGACGCCGACATGGCACTGGCATGACCATGGAAACGAGAGCGATGCGCCGGTTATCTGGCTCGATGCACTCAACCTGCCGCTCTTCAGATTCACCCCTGTACACTTTGCAGAGCAGTACCATGAGAGCCGTTACCCAAGCGTGTACGTCTTTCTTAGATGATCAAACACGAAGAGGTCACTGACAATTCATAGGTTCACGGAAACATGCGAGTGGAGACATCCGTGGGACCAAGTTGAAGCCGAGCTCAAGGCCCAGGAAGGCCCTTACGCCATCCACCACTACACAAGTCACGGCAAGCCCCTATCACCCATTCTCGGCGCGCAGGCCGAGCGCATCGACGGCAACTATACGACAAAGGAGGTTCGTGAGCAGGCTTCGTTCCTCTACCACTGCTATGAAGGCCAAGGCCGAACCATTGTGGAGCCGCCCACGGGGCCCCGTGTGGTCTTCAAGTGGACTGCGCGAGACACATTTGCCGTCCCTGCGTGGTCCAAGATTCAGCATATCAACGAGGGTTCTACTACGGCGTACCTTGTTGCTGTTAGTGACAGGCCATTGCTCAGCAGCATTGGGCTTATCAAGCCGCAATCATGAGCGTTTGAGGGGAGGCAAGACCACGGGAGTACCTTCAGCAACAACCTACCAAGATTGTACATGTTCACTCACTATTAGCAGGCCTAAGGGGCTGTATGTACTTACATAGTAATAATGAAGAGATTGAATGTAACATAGTCAGCAAAAAGACTTGGGGAGAAAGGTGATGTAGTTCGCTTGGCATTATCACCATCCCGTCATGTGTCAGAATATTGTCAGAATCTCATTCATCAATACCTCGACGCATTATTCATTGGGAAACTTCGTGAGATATTGGCTGCAGACACAATTCTTTACTCAACACGAGCACTTTCTGTTGAATTCAGTGACCCACAAAGAGCCGAAACCCACGAGGTGTTTACCCACAACAACACGGGCAGCTCCCGGACCTCGGCTGGATTACTCCTTTCGTCAGATATTCGACTACTCGCGATCGATTGTGATATCTTACAATAGCCAGGATCGAATTTAGATGTCGAAATTTTCGTGCTCGTGTAATTATGAACACTAATTCACTCTGCAACTCAGAGTGGTGGTATTATCTGCAGCATGTTCTTCCCAATCAACAGTCCTGAAATCGGCAAAATTTCATCATGGATAATTGCGACAGCATTGACGATGATTATCGTCAGCCACATATTCATTGTCAAACAATTACGTTACCGCCGGATGATGCAAATTGAAGCGCCGTTTGCTAAGTGTGGCAGGGAGTTGTCGAGTATGACCGTCAAAGAGTCCCACGAGATCATCACCCAGCTACAAGAGCTCGAGTTTCCATACTCCTTCTCCAAAGCTCGCAAACTAGCTCTCCTCAAAGTGGGTTGCAGTCAATCTCTCTTACGAAACTCATCCAGGCCAAAGGAGGACCAAGTCAGACTGATGAGAGATCTCTAAGTACTAGGCTGGGAGTGTTCCATCAATGTCCAGACTATTTGCCGTTACAGGCCAGAACAATAAACGCAACGCGGGGAAACGATCAGTCGATACGGAGATCCTTCTCAGAGAAGTGCAGTCTAAGGCAAGAGACTCGGATCGATATGCGATGTCTGTGGCAAGAATGAACTTTCTGTAAGTCACCAAGTATCAAGCTTGATCAACAACTGGGGTCTATTCGTTGCTGACAGGCGGTGTTCCTACAGACATGCACGATACCGCCGTGCGAACAAGATCACCGACCCCGACCTACTTCACACCCTCGGCGACGGCCTTGCTGAGATAATCAATGTAGTCAACAGAGACGAATGGCGCAAATTGACCGGTGTCGAAGTATGTGCTCTCGGCATCTTCCACAAGAACCTAGGTGAAGATATGGGCATTCCCTTCGATCTTTTACCCTCGTGTAAAGAAGGCTGGATGGACGGGTTGCACTTTGCAATGGAGCTCAAGAACTGGACCGTCCAATACGAACAAGAAGTCTGTCAGCCGGTGCCGACAAATGACCAATACGTCAGAGTCTATGTCGACTCGGCCCTTTCTTCTTTACCTAGTTCCTTCAGGACAGCACTGAGGAAGTCGCTGGGAGCCGACTTGGACGACGTGGCTCGATTGAGCCTCAAGTAAGTCAAGTCAAGTAATCTTGCGACCACTGTAACCCTTGTAACTGATCTTTCAAAGTCTGGAATCTCCCGGAATCCTCCTCTCCACCTTTCTAGCACTAGTTCGCAACTCGAGGAAACTCGGGCTCCGTCACCTTGCCCTGCCGCGCCCCGACTCATCTGCAGTCAAACTCGTCAACGACACCCCGAACCCCGAGACTAAGCTCTACAACTTTGGACGGAAAAGCCTTCAACCCTGGTACATGCGGCCAACAACGTGGTCGACTTGGGGTCCGGGTGCATGGCTGGTCAAAGCGGTCGGTGGGAAGGTTCCGGGCGAACGGGGAAGCAGATATTTTCCCCAGGGATATGACTTGATGACCATTGGGCCTGAGCCTCAGCGGGAGAAGGGGAGGTGTGAGATGATATCGGATATGGAGGTGATCAAGGCAAGGGGAGCAGTGACCTGTCCGTTTTCGCAAGCGAAAGCGAATACGTTTGCCACTCCTCAACACCTATGAACGAACCCTTAGCCACATTCCAAACTTACGCGTAGACTTGTTCGAAAGCGACCTGCAAGTGACTAGCAACGGGTTTTATGGACATGGCTTCATTCCACTCACAACCGCCTGGCACATGAACGTGAATCTATATGGCAGGAGGCTCTCTTCGCGGGGAGAATGAATAGACTACATGTTCCGTTCTAGTTGCCAAGACGGGTTAGGAAGCCAGCCAACATCGAGGATTCTTCCGAATTCACGCTATCCTACCTAAGACCTACCCTTCCTTCTTGTATGTGTTTACATATATCGACCTTTCCGCCGTCTATCCGCTAGATCTAGCCGGGGGGAGAGGTAGGACCAACCACTGGTCGTAATTTACCCATTGAAAGAGATGCAGGAAGAGCTTAAGACCAAGCTAGAAATGAGGCCGCAGAATCGTGTTGATTAAATGACTCGAAATAACTTGCAGCCACGTGCGGCAATAGCGAATAGTTAGCAAGTCAAGATTAGAGGTCCACGCTGCATCATGTCTGAACTCAAAAGCAGAAAATCTGCCGATATAGAGTAGCCAGCAGGGATATAGCGGCATTTTTCCCTTCTAGATGGACTGTCAGCGGCTTCAAGACGGCATCCGGCAAAGCTGGCCTCAAGTTCAAATGCCGCAGTATAAGCTGGAGTCTTATGTTTACAAGCGTCAAGTACGTTATATGGAGTTCATCATGTTATAGAAATGTCCGAGATTGAAAGGACCTTCGACGAGAAGCGAGTGTTGACGTGATTGACATCTCACAGTGTGCCTTACCAACCCACCCGCTTCAACCCATCTTGTCACGAGGCATATTACCATGCACCCTCCGGAAGAACTTACAGTTTAACCAATCTCGCATCTTTAAATCTTCAACCTCAAATCTAGGCAGCCAAGCCCATTTTGTTTCCCGTCTTCCCCGCATAATTCGCAGTCTTAAGTGGGAAAATCGAGTCAGCGACGAGCTAAACATCTTCAACGGCCCCTCCCATCCAGCAACTTGCCTGCATACGAATGGTCTTCTTGGTTATGATCAGACAGATCACCCTGCAATAGCCTCTTTGCGGTGCCGCTCAGGTGGTGGCCATGTCCAAGCTCACGATCCTATTCGCCACGCGTGCATCGCTCTCCAAACTCTGCTCAACATCTGTGACGACCCGTGGCCTATTGATCGGACTGTGATCGATCTCAGAGACCAGAGCGATCCTGTAGGGCGATTCTGTAGGGCGATCTTTCTATTTGAATTATGGTGTGCTTGATGAAGCGTCGCTTGGCTGCTCATCCCGTCTCCGTCGGTAGTACAGGATCTTTCCATTCTCAACTTCCACCTCAGTTCCTCAAGTCAAGTTGGTTCTCGATGGAATCCGCGGCGTCATCACCGTCGTCATGGCGGACAAGAGCGCCCAAATCGTCGTCACGGCCTCGGTATTCCTCCTCCTGACATGGGTTGCCGTCAGCCTCCGCGTGTATTGCCGCACGGCATTGGTGCGATCAGTCGGTATCGACGACAAGATCATGGTCTTCCTCTTGGTGAGTGACGTCTACGCTTGTGGGAGCTTGAGAGCGGTAATTTACTAACGAAGGGAGATTATTTTCACCGGATATCTAGCGTTGCAGATTTACGGAGGAACTCATGGGATCGGCCGCCGTGATTCTGAGATCACTGCTGGGGAGAAGAGAGCCATGCTGCTGGTAGATTATGTCACATCATCCCCAATCTATTCCCCTGCTGATATGACTTCCAGCTATGGTGGATCCTCGAGCTACTCAACGTCGTCTCAACATGTCTCCTCAAGATCTCTGTTGGCTACTTCCTCCTCCGAGTCGCACTCGATCGGCCGCACATCTGGATAATTCGAGCTCTCATGGTAGGTACAGTTGTCTTCGGAACGACATACCTCTTCATGGTAGCTTTCCAGTGCAGACCAGTACCAACGTACTGGGAGGACGGCCCAAGAACACCGGAAAAATGCTGGCCCTCGCGGGTAATCTACATCATGACGATTGCGGCGACGGTCATCAATACGAGCGCCGACTTCGTTTTCGGTGCTTTGCCGTGGTTCATCGTCAGATCCATGAATCTTCCGATCGGGACCAAAATCGTGGTAGTGTGCATCTTGGGGCTAGCTGCTGTGTAAGTGTGAGAGCAGGCAGGCCGCAGACATACTGGCTCGACAGCGGGGCAAAGCTGACAGTCCTGGTTATAGAGGAAGTACTGCGACTATTGTTAGAGCGTTCTATATCCCGACGTTACTGGACGGCGAGGATTTTCTTTGTAAGCCCATTTTCTAGCCTTCGCGCTTCAGATCCTTCAAGTACACTAATAAAACTGCTCACCTTGCAGACGGAACCTCCAACTTTGCGATATGGAGTACAGTAGAGCCGGGGATCGGCATCGTAGCAGCCTCGATAGCAACGTTACGACCTCTGTATCAAATGATGCTTGCCAAGATGGGTCGCTCATCGGTTTACCGTCAACAACGAGACAGGTTGGAAAGACAACAGGCTCGCAGGAATGAGACGAACCGGGTGGTGCGACAGGCACACAACCTCGATCCGGAGGATGGGCTGGCCGATTCGGATATCACCTCACCCCACGGGATCCTTGAAGTCAACCCGCCCTCTCATCACGTCAGCAAACAGACAGAGTCGACAGTCAAGACGAGCTCGTCTGGGATTGGATGTCCACGACTGGGAATGAGCTTGTTCGATGTGGATGTTCCAACGTCACGATTGAGACTCAGCGATGATCTTCGGCGGACGATGGATAGACCTTCTGAGGAGTGGTTATCGAGGGTCAAGGATTGACAAGCGCCAGTTGTCCGTGATGTGTTTCAAGAATCTGACTGCACGGTTCTATAAGTGTACGGTTTGAAATAGCATCAGCATAGCATAAGGATAGCATAAGAAAAAAGTACCCAGGAAAGTCGCTTTTACGAACGAATGCCGCCATCGGAGCTTGACCATTAAAGCAGGACAACACGTACAATATTGAGTGGTAAATACCGTTATGGTAACTAAAGCTCTAGTGCAGCCCCAGTCTTGTGGCGTGTCATGAGTAGATGCACACCCTTGTTACCCGTCAAGCCTCTTCTCTCGTTGTTTCGACGGCAGCACCGCATTACACATTTCACGCCAGAAGGCTACAAAATACTGTCATTCAAGGCTTTGCGCTGTTTGATGATGTGTTGTGGGTGTCTGGCTAGTACCCTCAAGACTCATAGGAGTCCTCGGCCATGTTCAAGTCACGCATTACTCTTCACGATAACAAGTTGAGTGACATGTAAGTCAAGGCCCAGCTGTCGGTATGCCTCCTCGACCAACAACCAGGAAGTGGCTCCCTCTGACCTTTCTGAATCTGAACTTATGTGGTCTCTTGGGCCATGGTAACTCAGGCAAGACCCTCAGCAACCTCAGCCTCGGGAACGGAGCTTCCACTCTCACCCCTTGATCCTCAGCTCTAGGCTCAGACCAAACTTCCTCCATCCCATCGAAAAAGTCCATCTGGTCGACCCTGTATAGCGCCTCCCCCTTCGATACATCAAAGCCCCCCTCAAACCCTTCATCATCCAAGTCCCACAATCTCACCCCCAACATCCTCACTTCGCCAAAGAACCCATTCACCAACCCAAACACAAGGCCCCACGGCCCCTTGGTCCCATCCCTCAGCCCCAAATCAAACCTCGCGTAGCGCCCGTCGACAAACACACTCTGTACCCGTTCACGCGTCTCCCTCGGCATAGCCCATTCATGATCACTATTGACATGTCTCCTTCCTAGCTCACCACACCTACACCTACCCGCGATAACCGGCCCGGCCAGCCTGTAGTCCTCCGCCCTTCTCCACGTGGTGGGAAGCATGGACCCATCCCACACAAGCTCCACAGCGTCCCGAGCGGGGCTGAACGGAAAGGTCCGCGGGTCCGGCGCGCCGAAGGCCGTGGCCGCCAGCGCCCTGGTTTCCCGGCTGACGGCGTAGAGGGGTATGGCGGCCCAGGACCTGATTCGGCGGAGGAAGAAATGCGCTTGGGGCCCGTTCCGCCACTCGAGGTCGGTTTTGACCCAGCCCTCAATGGTGATGGGGTCGACGGCCGTGAGGAGGATGCTATCCCGAAGTTCTTTCGGCAGTCGGGTGAACAGGGTGAACGTTGTGGGGTTCGCTGGGCTTGGCTCTCGACGACGGACTGGAAGCTTATTGTTCTCGTCTTCTTCGTCTGATGAGGAGGAATCAACCAAGATGCACACTCTCCGGCCGTCGCGAACGCGTCCTGGGTGTCTAGGGTGGCACCGCATGTGCTTCCGCGCCTCCAAAACCACATCCGACCACCTCTCCCGGTTAGACGCGTCGACAACAATCGTGAGCTCGTCCTTGATCTTAGGTTCGTCTTCTTCATCGGTGAACAACAACTCTTCCTCACCATCGTCCCCACTTCCCGAACCCAGGCCTTCTCGAGAACCGCTAGATGCCGGCGGGATGAAGTGCGCCATCGCAAAGAAGAAACTCGAGTCAGTCGTCCTGGCGGTGGCTTGCTTACAAAGAAGCTATATTCGTCCTTGCGATGTTTTGGCGCTGACGAGCGAGACAACTTTCGGACGTGGCTTCACGATACTTTGTTCCTTCGTTTTACTTAGTTCAACGGCTGTTTTCTTTTCCAGTAATCCGACTGCAAATCATGGATTCATGACGATGAAGGGTTTTGCTGCCTGCTACACCAGGCAGGAGATTCGTGATGTTCGACTCATGTTGGAAGGATTCTGTGGGTCAGAAGGATCATGCTATCGAACCTTGACGTGGATGCCCATCCCCTACGAGCAAAGGTTCCCCTCTCTACCAAGTACGGAGATCCCATGATGAGTTACGGTGCTCTAGACGAACGAAAAATGTCACGATCTTTCACTCTTTCAGAATGGGAATCTCGTTGACGCCCTGACGCCGTTGGCAATGGGGTGCGGATTCAGAAAAAAGCCACTCATCAGCCACAAGCCATACCAAGTCTCATCTGCCCACGCTCGAGGCGTCCAAACAGCGAAAAACACCAACGAAGCGTCTTCGGCAAATGTTGGCGTTATTGCTTGTCTTCCCACTAGAACTCGACCTCCTCGCTTAATCCAAGACACTGTGTAGCTCAGACCAATCGAGGGCTTTTCCCACGCTTCTCTTATCTTTTTCTTCTTTTCTAGAGTGCGTGAGCGACAGTGCATTCAGGTGAGAGTCGCTAGAAGGGCCTCGGTTAAGGCTGCATGCAGGACGGGAGTCACTGCGCCTGTTAACCAATCTCTTGGGTTCGAAGGGGTCCAGACTGCCGGGGCGCAAGATTCTTCTCGAGGTCTGGAACTTTCCCCTTGGGCCTTCACGAGCTGAAAAAACTCTCAAGCGAGTTCACAGAGAGCCGCGGTCTTGGCATTCGGGGAAAATACACAACAGAAAATGAAGAAAGCTTGTTACCTAGAATCAAACACCGGCGGCATCTGTTCACCGAGCCCGGGAAAACACAGTAGTCGCGGCGCCGAACCCAACCGCGCTTTCTAAAGTCAGCCGCGAAAGGACGAAGGACGAGCCGCGAGCATACAATGTGTCCGTTTCACACGCCCTCGACTCCTCGAGCTCCCCCCACAATCCATCCTCCTCCTCCCATCCCATCCAAACGCCCTTCGCAACCCCACATAGTTCGGCATAACCGTTGCTGTTCCATCCTCTGTTTCCTCAGACGGGAGAGAGCGTGGCGAAGCGAACTCCACAGCGAATGCACTTCAAAAGCAGAGATCCTAGATCCTGATCACTTGGTCTTCGATACAGGTACCCGTGTCGCAGGATCTCGAGCTTCACATAGAAGGGGGTGGGTCTTGGCGTTGGACTGGTTGGAGATGCGCGGTTCGAGTGGGATACTCTGGCTGTTTCTGAGCAGGGGGAATGCTCCAACGTCTGAGGACATGAGCCTAGGGAAATACAGTTCTGCACTTTGAGCTAAGGTAGGTTAGAGTAATCGGGTGGAATCACATAATACCGCCTGACCGAGTGGGATTCCTTACTTGACCTAGTAGCACGCCTTACCAACAATCAACAAGATAATGTACCGAACTCATAACCTCTTCTTCGAAAAGACACGAGGAGGGGAATCCAAGCCTCACTCCCACCCACGCAAAGACAAGAACCAAAACATGATAAAATTAGCGATTATTTCTTCTCCCTCTGTACCCGTGTGTCTCTCCACCGCTCTAGAATCCATAATCCGGTCTGGTCTCTTCCTCAGAGTGCACGTATGTAATGCAAGGCCAGGTAGTCTGGGGTAGCTTGCCTTGCTTGACCAAAAAAAGTGAGACAACACACCCCTTGCCGAAAGACCCCCCCAATCCCAAGGCTGCATAGCGCATAGAAAAGAACTGAGAACCGCCTAAGAGAAATGAGCCTATCATACTGTCGGAGATTGAGGCTGAACGGCGCGCCCGGTGCCCTCTGGGGCCGGGCCCGCCGCCCTTTTTCCTTCACCCTTCAGCAGTTCAGCTGGTGGTCCATGGTCTCTGGACCATGGTCCTTACTCCTATGGGCCCAATGGTGAGGGAAATCCCTCAGACCTTTTCGGCCGTGATTCAGCCCCCCAATTCCCCCCTCACTGCGCTCCCACGGCTCCCTACCTCATCCCTTCCCGTGGGAGCGGGCGTGGGACGCGGGAGGGTGAGTAAGCGTGAACGCGTGGGCGTGGGCGTGGGTTGAAGCAGACACAAGCGGAAGAGGAACACGAACATGTAAGACGGATGGGACGATGGATGACTTCTAAAAAATTTCTTGTTGTGGATTTTAGAAAACCCCAAAAGTATATACACTAAAGTAAATTGGTGCGGAAGCTAATCCGCTGGGTATCCCGTTGTGAATCGAATGCTGCCTTTTTGCCCAGTCTCTCCCAGTCTCCCATGAATGCTGATGAAAAAGTGTTCTCCAATCCCATGCGCCTTGACTGGCTGATACAGTCGGCCGTCTCCCCCATTGAAGTGAAATGTCTTGTACCCCGATGCAGTCTGTTGACCTGTCCAATGTCCAACACAGAAAGTAGAAAGAGAAGAGAAAATGCTCGTAAAAGTCGTCAAGCAGGCCGTAAAACTCTCTATGCGGCCACAACCTCGGGCCTCAAATGCTGGTTCACCGCCATCGAAGACGAAGAAACCGTCGGTAGCGCAGGGCGTCTCAGTCTCAGCTCGACAAAGTGCCCAACAACACTGCGCACCTGCTCCTCAAAACCCTGCAGCTTAAAGCCAAACACCTCCTCAGAAGCAGAGGCGTCAAAGTCAATGTTGACCGTGCCCACGGAGCCGCTGCTGACAATCAGCTTCCTCTCGACGGCCTCGGGGAAGCTCCTCTTGGCAATGAGCTTCGCGTCGTTCCAGCGGGACTTGGTGCTGAGGATGTAGCCCTTGTTGCCCGGGACGGTGGGCAGAAGAGCCTGGACATGTGCGCGCGCGACGTCGTCGACGTGGACTGTTGCGCCGGGGTAGCTGCAGCCCATCTTCTTGCCGCGGAGGGTGGCGAGGATGACGGCGTTGGTACCCTTCATCGCCTCGCTCGCCGTGGTCGCGATATCGTTGCGGCCGATGACGAAGGAAGGGTGGAGGTGAATGACCTCGAAGCCGGGCTGCTCTCTCGCGATCCACGCCTCGGCGCCCTTGAGAGCGGCCACCTTGGAGGCGGCGTAGGCGGCAAACTCGCTCTCATACGGCTCAGGCTTGAAGCCGGTCCTCTCCGTGGGCTGGACAGCCTCCTTGCGCTCGCGACCCTCGAGGTGGTCTACTGAAGTAAGGGCAACGACTGAGCTCGT